GATATTTGGCGTTTGCCTATGTCTCTCTAACAGGTGCGCTTTCTGCACTCCCGCCCCCCCGCCCCCTTTTCACAGCTCCCAGCACACGGACAGGGATTCCAAACTATACTCATAATTCTGCAAGAGGCTTCAGGGGACAGGGAGCAGTCACCAAAATGCAAAGGCTAATTATTTTGTCTTTCTGTCACCCCCCCAGGGCCAACCCCCCCCACCTTCATGGGCTTAGTTAAAGAGCAAACAATAAATTAGTTCAACTGCATCTATGATAATGAATCATCATAATTAAGCACCCTTTTCCATTAACCTTTTGGGATGTTCCTGTGCTTTTCAAGGTAATTTTTAAAATAAAGTGATTTGGGGAGAGGGGAATGCAGGCTATTTGTTATTAATGAAAACAATAATCTTCATTTAACAAGATTGTCTAAAAGAGAGGGAGGAGGGAAGGAAAAGAGATCTTCCACAGGGGCAACGAAGCACCCCGCCGATTCTCTTTAGCAATATTTGCAGCCTCGTTGGACATGGCCATCCTTAAACCAAGAAACCCTCCGGGATGTTGATCCGGTCTTGGGGTGTGCCATTGTATACATGGCAGTATCAAGTATTTTATGCTGTAAGTCCATTCTGAGTATTTCAGCCCCTCCAAGTGCCTCTCCGATATGAAGCCAGAAGAACTCTTAAGAACCGAAAAGGTGATTCCTCAGAACAACAGCAGTGGCGTGCAGATAGTAAGCCGATGGCTGCACACAGGGAAATACCTTTTGCAAAAAATTGTACTAAACAATCTGCCACCTAAAACACAATGGCCCCCTTCTTTCCAATAAGCAAAACGACCCAACAAAACTGCTCACTAGTGTGCATTACATTTTCTTGTTACCAGGCTGAAATTCCTGCAGGAACGCTGATGATTAAAATAGATTATCACCATTTCCACAGATACTGGTTCCTCAAATAAGCTCCTAGGAGCATTAGGAATAATGCATGATGGAAAGAGAGGAGGGGGGGGGGAAGGAAGCCACAGCAGATGAGAGCCGCACAATCAACAGCAGGACAACAATCAATTGGATACTCCCAGCTATTCAGAAACAAATTAGGACATTTGGAGCCCGTAAGTCACCTACTTACAGCTTTGAGTCAGAATAGCTACCGGACATATGAATTATCCATAGATGTTCACATTACTCGGAAGTCAGACCCAGAGATGAACAATTGCCATATGCAAACAGAAGTTAGTGGGCAAAGTGAAAACATCTTACACAAGATATTTAAAAGAAAGAAAGAAAGAAAGAAAGAAAGAAAGAAAGAAAGAAAGAAAGAAAGAAAGAAAGAAAGAAAGAAAGAAAGAAAGAAAGACAGCATGTCTAATAACAAGGGGAAAATAATGGTTAGGCTGAAAATAGCAAACTCTTCCACCCAAGATTGCTCCATGTATTCTATATCTTGAATAAATATAAGAGAGCCACCACTATGATTTTCCCCTGTCAAGAGAAGCATTTAAGACTGCACCCTGCAGACCTGCTTCAGAGAAATCCTCAGTAAATCCAGTGGGGTTTTTGTGTGTGTTTGTTTTTTACTGAACAGAGATGGGCCAAGCTGGCTTGGAGAAGGACCAACATTTGAGGTTTTGTTTTGGAAGAATCAGGGGAAAAAAGTTTCTCCAAGTTTTAAGAACTTTGGAAGCAGCACACCTTTTAAACTTGGGGTGGTGTGTGTGTGTGTGTGTTCTTTTCCTGATTGCAAAGCTTGAGATTTCCTCATTGCTCCAGTCTTAACTCCAGAAAGGGGGTGCATATTCCCTCCCCTCCCCCCCCCCACACATTTCATTCCATTTTATGAATTGTAGCCAACTGCAGTTTTGCTGTATGGTCCTCTATTTTTACTCCAGCAGCATCAGGAACCCCAAAGCTTTCATCCACTCTATTCCGGGCTGCATCCTGTTGTCTCAACTGCACAGCAGTGTTTTGCCCTCCGGATGAATGAGCCAGCCCCCCAACCCCCCAAGAGAAGCACCAGAGCATCTCTCCCCAAAGATCTTTACATTCCGAGAAGGAGGAAATTCAATCAGGCCAAGCTGAAATTGTCCCCCTTCTCCAAAAGCATCCCTGCGCCTAGCAGATAGTCGCCTACCAGCTGAATCTATGCATGCATCATAGGAGTCCAAGTTGAAGAGATGACCAAGATCTTGTGTCCCCCTCCCCGCTCTCACCCCCCATCTCTCCATCCCCAGGGCCGTCCTCCCATCAGACACTCGGTGCCCCTGGAAAGGTTTGACAGGAGCACAATTCCTGTCAAGATACCTGAGCCCCAACCTCGCTTGTGACTGGAGGGGGAACCCACCATCCATTAAAATAGTTTCCTAGTGCAGGAATCCCCATGACAGGAGCCGGGATTTAAAAAAAAAAAAAATGCTGAAGCAAACGAAGACTAATCTTCAAATAGAAAGAAAGAGAGCCAGAGAGAGAGAGAGAGAAGGAAAGCAATGGGGGGATTAGCAAGAAGGAAAGCAAAAATGCAGGCGTGCTTCCAGGGCAAAAGTGCTTTTCCAGCGACTTTCTCCCTTATACCGATGAGCGAGGCG